TTCATTTTAGATCAAGGATGCTTTAAGGTTTATGGTTCATCCTTTATGTACAATGAAGGATGCACGTACGAAATTGTAATAAGTTTCTAGTTCTATATACAGAATCGTTAAAGAGTATGGCACATGTCTTATGTGTACAGTACAACAATTTTTCATGAATCAAAATCCCACTTCCGGTTTACTAATAAGTCTTATGTAAATAACGTTTCTCTGAAATATCCTCAAAGGCAATATCAGAGAAAAGACAAACTGACGTCACTTCCTTTGATGTTAGTAATTCAGAAACGTGCATAGCATTTCTCCTCTTTACCCGTAATGGGCAGCTGGTAGAGGTCTTGTTTAAACCATTGATATCCCTTTAATTTGTTTATGATTTTATTGCGTTGAACTGGATGTGCGACTATAGAAAAGCGAAACGACCTTTGTCTTTTCGAACAATTTGTCCTTGAAACGAGCCCATCTTTTGTTGTTGAAGGCGTTGAGTCGGATATCTGGCCACTTGAAACCTGACAATTCATGACATTGATTAGGTCATCACAGGTCAAAGGTCGGGCTTCCAGGTTTCAATGTTATTTCATTCATAATTCAAATGCTGCGAACATGTTTCTATTTTGTCACGTTTGGACTTGGGTATTCCCAACCTTTCCGCCTCCTCAACATTTTCTATTGGTTTTCTAGACACACTGACCTACATTGATTTCCGCAGTATAACGTAATTTGGAAAAAACAATTTGGGTGGGGTGGTGTCGGAATTCTGAGCATTGGTTGGTATTGATATTAGCGGCGGGCAAATGTGTAATGGTTTCTTGCAAACATCGGTAGAAAGGGTGGGGGCTTTCATTTGGTGTTTATCACTAATCAAAAACAGTGTTTCAATATACAAAAATATAATTACACAATACACAATACAATACAAATACAATACAATACAATACAAATACAATACAATACAATTACAATTCAAGATTATTACAATGCTATTACAATTCAGAGATTTAATAACTATGACATGTTAATCTTCCGTCCACAGTGACTTTGCCAGACAGGAAAACCATAGATGAGTCTCGGACATCAATGGAAACCTGTGTCCGACCTAATGCGAAAGCACCTCGGAAGCTATACTCGGACGTATATAGAAATACATAGTGATGTCACGACGCACAAGGATTTTTTTCAATATATTCATATACATGTTTAACATGCAAGCCCTTTCGATACTAATCAAGGTACAATCCCACTCTTCGGACCCTACAGTACCTGTATGATTTGTTGGCCAACAAATCTCGATCATACGAACTTAACCAGCAAAACAAGCCTAACATCACCCTAACACAAGCAAGTTTAGTCCCTACAATCCCTAACACGAACCTAATCAAAATCCACTACAGCCCTACACAAATCCTAACCTTAGCAAACCTAACATTCCCTCCAACACAGAATCTCAGAACGTTGAGATTCGAGAGTGAGATTGTGTGTAGCACAAAAGGGTGAGCATAGTTCTACATGGTTATGGATAATTAAAAAAAATCTTTATTTACCACAACACCCTACGGATAAGCCTGGTTTCTGGTAGCATAGCGTAGCGTAGCTTCTCAATATCTAGACCATTGATTGAATTCAGTGGATGTTTTCTGAAATTCAAATCAAATTCATAGTTAAAAGCGAAATCTCAATAACATTAATGTAATAGTCTTATAATACAAAATATGGAAATACAGCAGAAATCTCATCTTCACATCTCATCTTCACATCTCATCTTCTCAACACACATCTCATCTTTCTAGTCAAGTCCGCCCAAAATATCTCAAACAGATATAACTAA